AAAACTAACAAGTACTGATTTTTCTCACCTCTCATAAATGGTGCCACCCAAAAACAAAGCTGGTGAAAAAAACTCTCAATTTCGAATTTACTAGCACTACAAATAGTATACACTGGGAAGGAGTCGGGCATCGAATTATTTGCACTATCCTATTCAAAGCTATTGTTCTATGATACTATTTCTTGCCCTCAATTTTTGCACGGGTGATTTGGCCAATAGATTTCGACTTAACTCACGTCTATGTAGACAAGTTTCTACACACTTGAACAAATCGTTAGAAGCACGTGGCCTTCTCTAAAAGTGGGAGAGGTGACCAAGAGCAATCCGATGGTTAAGTGAGTCAATAGTATAAGCATATTTGGGTGTGAGATGGTTGGAAAATGTGAGCGTCGTTAGTGTACGGGCAGTCGGGATGTATGAACCAGTATAAATGAGAAAGCAACCTTACTATCAGTGTGTAAAATTACATTACCTTCAAATGACAATATGTATGAGCTTTTATGGTAGAATAGGAGGAATTGTTACAGTTGGATCAAGAGACAAGTCGCCTCATCCTAACGGATGAAGTGTCTCCTCCTAGACGTCACCGCATCAATCATAGGTTGGTTGGCATTTAATGTTTTTCGAAAAGTGGCCACCCTAAAGTCTAGGTCTGACCTCTTAAAAATAGACTAACAATTTGACGTTTAGGTGTCAGTTGCAGAGACCTCATATTAATCAATAGTACGAGGACCTTGTAAAAAAGATCTCCTAAACGAGGTGAGATGAGATGTGCTTCCTATCGACAAAGAGGCTATTTGTCTCAGATTCCCTTTTTGCAGCAGGCCTAATATCTCACCTAAGCCATGGAGGGTCGGCCTTTATATGGCACCTCTATGGAAGTGATGCATCAACTCGGCTACCTTATATGACCTCACCTCACATTGGCCAGGGTCTGTTTGGACTCGCTAGCTAGCTGTCATGTGGCCGTTGTTAGGATTTTTACCAATCTCCCATGTCCCAGGAAACAATGATCATTCACAGATTTGCATTACCAGACAGGAAAGAAACCACAGCAATGGCAGAACATAAAACCAGCAAAGAATAAGATAAATAGACTCAAGAATTTTTTGGTATTGGGACTAAATTTCACCAACCAACTTGCAGGGATTTAACCCCCGTCAATCTGCCATTACAAGAGGAATTATTACAGTGTTTGAATTACACAACAACAGCACTCATCACTCACCCGAGAACAACCAGAAAACTCTCAGAAAGTTTGCACAGAAAGTTGCAGAAGTTGTCTACAGAGAATTCTCTCTCACAACCTCACTCTCTCTTAACTACAGAATGTGTTCCCCCACATTCTTACGTTCTCAGACTTGCTCACATTCTCAGGCTCTCAGCCCTCTATCCTATTTATAGGCATCGGAATGTAGAGATTTACAAGAAAATACATCCAATATTCAGCTACAACAACTACCAGAAAATTAGTTAGAACCAAAGGCTCCTAACTGATTTTCTAACTCACTAACTAATCCAACTAATGAGTTTAATAACCGAATCAAGAATCAATATTTTCTCTACAGCCATGATTTGGAACCTCAATAGGATAGGCGTAACGCTACTCATACTATTCAAAGCCGCTGTTCTTTAATTTTAAACAATCATGTTTTTAAACATAAACAAGATCCAAACACGGGATTAGAAAACAAACTTTTTTGTATTTATGGGCTTAGAAAATAAACTTTTTTGCATTTTCTCTCCTCTAACTACGCAGAAACTTTTGTCTTATTATCATTTCCTTTTACTGCAGTTCCAAACCCAAGTACAAGAGGATCCTCTTTCGGGTTCCTTTGTGACTCAATGAAGTAGTAAAACAGCTGTATTTCATCTTTTTCTCCAACACTTATGTATCTAATAATCAAAAGAAAAATAATCCGATCATTTCAATTCAATAAATTAACTATGTTCCTAGAAATTAATAGGGAAATAAATAAAGAACGAATGAACTGACCCGGTTTCTAGTTTGAAAGGAAGAGGACCGGGATAACCCGGAAGAGTCTTGACAATGGACTGTGCTTCTGCAGCATCGTTGAAGAGAAGAAGAAGTGTAGGCAATAACCATAGGCATAATTGAGTAATCCTCATGGTAAACTTTATGGATGAGAGATGAAAGCAGGGCAGGAGAATGGGGTATTAAAATAAGCTGGAAATTACTGTTCGAGGTGGATGTGTTTTATCAATTGTTGGCCCACAAGATTCAGACCACTGTTTTGCATGATTGACAAATATTAGCCTTGACCCTATTTTTCTAAATTCATTTTTATCAAACCTATTTTCAATTACATATTTCGCAAAATTCATATTTTTTAATAAACTTTTTAATCACGTTTCATTAATTTTGATCAAAAATTATTAAAAATTTAATCCATATTAATAATTGATTAGAGTTTTAACAGATTTTAATAAAAATCAATAAAATACATAGTTAAAAAATTGATAAAATTGTGAATCCCATGAAAATTTGCGATTCAAATTTAGTTATGAATTTGACTATATTTTTATCTTTTTTTTTTTAGTTGAACCCTAGCAAAGACCTAATTTTTAGCTAAATCAAATAGGGGCTTAATTTATTTTTCCTTTTTCAATAGGTTATTGGATGGATAATAAGTAAGTAATAAATCATGAGTCGTATGAAATATATGAATAGAAAGTATGTAGAGGCAAAATTTTTAACAAGTAATTAAGCTTTGACAACCATTCACTTTATTGTATTGATATTTAACCAATGTTTTGTTTTGCTAAACTTTAGATTTTTAGTAAATTTCGATAAAAGTTCATAAATTGTATAGTTGAGAAATTGATTAAAGTCGTGCTCTTACGTAATACGTGGACAAAAATGAGTCAGAAAAAATGAATTTTAAAGTTGGGGACCAGATAGGAACTTAGGCAAAATTGCATCCTGAGTACTCAATTCCCGGCATTGTTGAAAAACGTGATGGATGGTACAAGAAGCTGAGAAAAGAAACCAAATAAAGCACGGCATAGATGATGTGGTCCTAATTTAGTGCAAGTATATAATACATTTTTTATTTTTTAGAAAATTATTGAGTGCCATATCCTGACAGTACGTCTACCGAGGCTCAGCCTTTGTTTGGGTTTTATTAAAAAAAAAAATTAACAAATATTTGAATCAAAGTGAATAATTAACTTTAATTATATTTTCATTAAATAAAAAAATCGAATAAGCACTAAGCTAAGAATGATGAATTTTGTAATCTTTTTATTAACTATCTTATTTATAAGTTTAAACTGTTACCAAAAAATATTTTGCTCTTGTTTGAGCTCCATTTTGAGGAAAGAATACATTTTTAAATAGTGATTGATGGAGAATGTATGGTTAAAAATTAAGGAAAAATTTTAAATTTATGTGTAATGTTATTTTATTGAAGAATGTGTTGTTGAAAATGAGTTTTGAAAAAATGAATTTTTGGAGGAACGAGGCTCTGTCAAAGGCTAAGTTTTGATTTTATTGAATCACTTCACGTGGAAGTCGGATTTATTTTTTGATCAAAAGCTTTGACAAGTGGACAAATGATATACGAATAGGTGTTGGAAAATCTTGAATCCATGTCTTTTGTTGACTTTGTATCATGTTAATCATTCAAGCAATTGTGTAGGTTAATATCAGAAGATTTTTGCTCATTATTAGAAGATGGTGTGAGCACACCACTGCCACCATGACGATTGTTAGGGGGCAAATGGCCATGGACATCTCAAGGCATTGGGTTCGTCCTTCGTTCCTCCGGTTATAAATTTGATGAACCAAGGAAAAACGTAGGAATGCTGATGACTTGTTTTGGTTTCTGATTCCTGATGCTATCCTTTGGCATTCAGGGATGGGTTATGCTATGTTCGTATGTGGTGGCAGTAAAATAAGATAAAAATTGGTTAAAGACATGAGCGACACTTCATCGAAGGTTGGGTTAAATATGCAATTTACCCTTAAAAGAAGAGTGCATTTGATTTGTAATTTTTAAGTTGCTTACAATTTCCAACTGTACAAAATTCAGATTATATGTTTGGTTTGATATTTCTTAAAATGTATTTTCAAAAAAAAGATTAAACTTACAACATAAATTTTAAAATGAATTTTTGACGTTTTGAGTGTTTCCAGTGAAAATAAATAAATTCTAAAAATTTAAAAATAAAAATATAAAATATTAACAAATTAAATTTGAAATATATTTTTTTATAAAAATAAAATTTAAAATTCTAAAAAAGCAAAAAGTAAAAATTTTGAAAAAATAAAATTATAAAATTTCTGGGACTTAATATTCTTCAATGTAAATTTCGTGTAAGCTTTTGTAACATTGATTTGGAGGATGTTTGGTAGGAATTATAATTAGATTTTTTAGTAGATTGTGATAGAGGTTTTTTGAAAAGTCTGATTGAAAAGTTATGGGACCCATGAAAGATATAGTTAATATTGATTGTTTTAACTTTGACCTAGATTAAAATCAGATTTTAATTCGCACCAAACATGCTCTAAACTGCAAATAGGTTAGGGATAGTTTCTTCGTAATTCCTTGGAGATTAGGCCAATGTACCCTTTCATGTTTTCTTTTCAATATTTAATATACTTAGATAAGAGTCATGTTAGGGGATAAAAACTCACATCGAATAAAGGTGAAAACATAGATCAATTTATAAGAGTTTGCTACTCCTCTTAATAAGGTTAATCTTTTAGGATGAAACTCTAAATCTGTACATGGTATCAAAGCGAAGCTTGCTTTGAACAATCTAATTTCTTCAAAGTAACAACACTAGAGGTACGACCTGACCAATTTAAGCTGGGAGCCATAGGTGGACCGACCTACCTAATCCAAAGTCCAACTATGAGCTCACGGATTTCAAAATTGGTCTGCTCAAATAAGCTATCTTGCGTCGAATAAAGATGAAAATATAGACCGATTCATAAGAATATGAGTCATTCATCTTAATAAAGTTGATCTTTTGAGATTGGACCCTAAATCTATACAAGTTAATGCCACATTCAGTTTGAGGCGATCTAATAATATGAGATAATGCTGTTGGTATTTAAAAAAATGGGAATGGATGAAACAAAAATTTACTTATATGTTAAGCAAACATGTGGAGGCAACTTTATAGAAGTGTAAAATTGGTTGTGATACAAAGCCCATTAAACTCTGCATGCTAAAGTGCCCGGTCAATTCTGGACTAATTCGTGAATATTTTGGCCGTCGAGTAGTCTCGACAAGCTTCTAAATTTTGCTAGAAAAAAATGGGGTCAAAATATTAATGCATACTCTTACACTTTGCATTAATACAAAGATGTTACTCATTCATACTAAATCAAACATCACTGATGGACGGCTTCTATATTCTGCACCAAATTTAGGACAACCTGGTAAAATCTTAATAATGGCAGTGCACTGTTGAAGAATTAAAGATAGAAGGTCAGTCTCAAACTTCCACTGTCGATGTCACCTGCTTCTGTTCAAGTTACTCTGCAACTTTTATTTTGCTAATCGTGTAGAGATTACAACAACTTCTGCTTGTGGGTGTAGGAATTAGGGTGTAGTATATATTGTTATGCTCCCATTTGACCCCCATAAATTTTGATTATAATGGGGCAATAGTGTTTTTTTTGGTTGAAAAATGGATGGTTGTAAAATAATGAAAATTTTTGATTTACGCGTAATATTATTTTATTGAAAATTGCGTGGTTGAAAATAGGAGAGAAAAAAATTTAATTCAATTTGATGAGAATTAATGAAGGTCAAACGAGGGCTACTTCTCATCACAAGTGGCTCTACGTGGTCGACCCATCATAGCCCTTGGCCCACCTAGGACGAGGCATCTGGCGTGGTGGCTGAGATCCTTAGGCTTATACGAAGCAACCAGATAACACCTCAATCGAGGCTCAACGTCTCCGAGTTCAAAGCCGAGGCTATGGCTTCGAAGGCAACTCACTTCAAGGCCCATGAACCAAGGCTCACTTTCGAGGCACCT